AATTAGCAGAGTTCAATAAAACTCTCTAATCATCTTAATTCTTCATTACTTAATTTCTCTTATTCTAACGTATAATTAAAATCCACTGTCTCCTATTTTGTTTTGTGTTTAAGACGAGGCTCGTAGCCCCTTTCCCTCGGCTTGCTTCCGCATGCGTAATAAATACGAATTCGAATAAAAATTGCAACCCGATCACGTATCTCGACAGTTGTAAGTATGTAAGTACACGCGTGTGGGCGTGAGAATGCGTTTACGTGTCCCGTTTTCAAAATCCATACCCACTCCCTATTTTCACGATACATACGTGCCATACGTGATCCAGGTAAATCCGTTCCACAATTTACAAAAACAGAAATTAAACGATCGAATTTCTATAATTGTCCCGTTATTTATATTTCATTTTTCCAATTCCAGTTGATGAGAAAATTTACAAATACACCTCTGGATATACTGTATATCGTAGAATTTTTTCAGATTTTTAGTATGACAACTTCCATTTGAAAAAATTGCCAGATTTGTAACTTCTATACCAGCCTATATCAATTCGCACTTTCCATTACAATTAATATCTTCAATTCTAACAACTGGAACCAGTTGAAAAAATTCACCAATATAGTACTTAGTATGCTGTATATTATAGAATTTTTTCGGATTTCAAACCTCAATTATAAAAAATTCTCCGATAACTCGAATACCGATTAATCAACGCTTTAAACTGAATCATGGGAATCTACTAACAATAAGGTGCAGCACGTAATACGTGTACAAAGCGGATAAGATAAAGAGGAATAAAGAGGAGTAGGAGTTTATCAATACTTAGAATATTCGCTGCGACGCCTCACATAATACAGCCGTTCGATCGCGTCCCGAGTTGTACATAGTAAAAATCGAGGAACAGGGATTATTGATCGGGTTTTAGAGTACCCTGCGCCCGCGCAAGGGAGTACCGAGTAGAGAGCGAGAACTACCCTCGTCCCCCATTCACCTTTCAGTCCGCGTTCCCTGCTCCATTTACTCTCAGTGAGTGTAACTCTGACAGGGCTTCGACTGCTAATTTAACATAAATTCTTTCAACTCTAAATCGTCTTAAATAAATTCGAGTGTCAAGACGACGAGAGTCAAATCGAAAATGTCTGGTGGTAAGTGCATACTACCTATGTCTCTAAATGATCCCTCTATTTAGTAATATCAGCGTACATATTCTGTGATTTACTGCATTGTCCTATCGGCCTGATTCTCTTCCTTCATTCATTAAACGGCAGTATAATAACTGTTATTAATAAATACAGTAATCTTTGGATACATCGCCAAATTTATCTGAATATATGATTAAGGTCTGTTAATGTGGTCATATGTCCAGACTACTCTAAATCACTTTGTATTATCTTCCTTTAGGTAATTACAATGATCTCCGGATATATGATCACGTGCTGTAATTTGCACATGGATGGCCATATATCCGGAGAATATTGTAAATCGCTTCCTACCATTTTCTTTTATAGAAATACAGTGGTCTGTGGATATATGGCCACTCATGCCCAAGTAGCAAGGCATGGCCATGCATCCAGAGACCATTGTAAATAATTTTATCTCCCTTTATCTAAGGATCACCTCAAGCAGGCTTGGTCATACATGTAGACACTATTAAAATCTCTGATACCTACTCCACTACAATTCTACGTTCCATTACTCATATTCTACCATCTTATAATTATAATTCTACTATTCTACTGTAATCTTTATGTTTCCAGACAGAGACTACATTGGATTCGCTACGTTGCCCGAACAGGTCCACAGGAAGTCGGTGAAACGGGGATTCGAGTTTACCCTGATGGTCTTAGGGGAGAGCGGGTTAGGGAAGTCCACCTTGATCAACAGCCTGTTCCTCGGGGATTTGTACAAGGAAAGGCAGATACCAGACGCGGCCGGTTGGTAGCGTGAAAGATCCCCAAGCCTCCGAAAGTCATTGTCAAATTCAGTTGTTTTCAGAGCGCGTCGAGAAGACCACGGCTATCGAAAAGAAAACTATGGATATTGAAGAGAGGGGCGTCAGGCTCAGGCTGACGATCGTCGACACGCCAGGTAAATTAGGGAAATATTCCACTTTTTGTTTAAGGATGTATCGGCTATACAGTCAATCCCAAAAGTTTATGTACCTTAGAAAAACGCATTTCCTATAATTAAAAAGAAATCAGACGTCGGAAGAATAATGCTAATAATGAATAGCTACGTGCCAAAAAGTATAGAAGGAAATATCCAATTAAGTATTGACGCTGACGAAAATTTTTTTTTTTTTAAACTTGCGAAAAATGCTTCGAATAAAAGTTGTTTTCCTTCTTACTTCGACCTTTAACGAGTTACGTATGATTATTTGGCATTTTATTAATGTTAACAAAATCCGACCATCCCAGCGTCGAAACGGCGAAGTTTTGGCAAAAAATTTTATTTTTCCTTAATTACTCCTAAACCGTTGGATGTACAGGAAAATTGTATATGACCTTTCTTGTAGAGGACGACGAGATCTACAATTTCTGTATAACATTTTTTCGCTAGCATTAATATTTAACGAGTTATTGACGAAAAACGAAAAAACAGTTTTTTGCAAATTACTCGTTAAATTGCATTATGCAATTTTTCCGTATGTCCAACGGTTTGGGAGTTATTGGCCAAAAACGAAAATTTGGAAGAAATTGAAGGGGTGCCCCTTGGAAAAATCGAAAATTTTTTTTGTTGTTTATTATTAGCAATGTTTTTCCGATGTCTGATTTCTTTTTAAAAAATGCGTTTCTAAAGTGCATAAACGTTTGGGATTGATTGTATAGCCAATACATCCTTAATTGTAATTAAACGATTGTCTCAGGGTTCGGCGACGCGGTGAACTGCGAGGACACTTGGAAGGCATGCTCCGCTTATATTGACGAGCAATTCCGACAATACTTCACGGACGAAAGTGGATTAAATAGGAAAAACATTCAGGATAACAGAGTTCATTGCTGTTTGTATTTTATCCCGCCGTACGGTCACGGGTAATTAAATTGATTAAATTGCACGTCGATTACACTGAATTTCATATTGTGTTCTGGATTAATTGTATATTTTATTGTCAGATTGAGGCAACTGGACTTGGAGGTATTGAAACGATTGCATAGGAAAGTGAACGTGGTGCCAGTGATTGCTAAGGCAGATACATTGACTACCTACGAAGTGAGGAAATTGAAGGAACGAATATTGGCTGATATAGAGGAGCACGAGATTCAAGTAAGATAATAACAAGAACATAAAAATTCAGTGATCTTCGGATATACGGTTTATTGCTAATAACTCATTATTTATTGATCGTAGCGAAAAATATTTTATACGATAGTTGTAGGCATAGACGACCTCTACAAAAAAGGTTGAATGTATCTTTCTTCTAACTCCAGTATTTAATGAGATAATTACAATTAATCGGATCGGGCAAAATCTAGCCTCCCCTGCCGTCGGATCAACAAATTTTTTGCCAGAATTTTGATTTCTCCTCAATTACTCCTAAACAACTGAAGCTATTGTAAAATTGAATACAATCTTTCTGGTAACTCAGAAATAGGTCTATAACTTTTATTTGAAACATTTTTCGATAGCGTTAATAATTATCTAACTAATTACATTAATTAATTAGTAAAAGAAACACCGAATGGTTTTTCGTTAATTATTCATTAATTAGTGGAGATAGGAGAAAATTGCACCTTTCTTGCAGCTCTCGTGAATATCTACAACTTTCGTTACATAAGTTTTTTGCTAGCGGCAACGGACGAGCAGTTATTTGCAATAACTGAGCATTTTGGAAAATCTGAAGCTGTAGTCCTTGACAAAAGTTTGATTTTTTCAAAATTTCAAAGAATCTTCTAAATGAAAGTTGTAGATACTGTTAACTACAAACAAGGTTCTATACGATACCCTCCTATCTCGAATATTTCAGGAGTAATCGTCACGAGTCTGAAACTCCACTGTTTCTTATATCATCTATCACTTTACTTGAAATAACGCGTTAATTATTGATCGTAGCGAAAAACGTTTTAAACGGAAGTTGCAGCTATTATTATCCTCTACAAATAAGGTCCTATAAAATTTTCTAGTAACTTCAATACTTCAGGAGTATTCATCAAGCATATGAGATTACTTTCTTAGTAATAGAAGTTTATTATTGTGCATAACTCGTTAATTATTGATCCTATTAAAAAATGTATGAAATAAAAGTTTTAGTTCGAACTCTTTCTTACAAATAAGGTCGTATACAATTATAATATTTTTTAAGTAATCATAATATATCCATATATTACTGATTTTATCATGTGAATAATTGCACCTTTATAATTTCTTCCATTAGATATATCAATTTCCCGACTGTGACAGTGACGAGGACGAGGAGTTTAAACAACAAGACAAAGAATTGAAAGCCTGTATCCCGTTTGCTGTCGTTGGGAGCTCGACAGTCTTAGAAGTAGCTGGGAAGAAAGTGAGGGGAAGGCAATATCCTTGGGGAGTAGTGGAAGGTAACTAATTTTAATACAAAACTACGAACCTATCTAATAAATCCATTTGTTCTAATAAATTCTGTTTAATAAATTTCTGTCTCCAATAAATTTTTTTCCACTCTTTCAATAAATTTCTGTGTTTAGTAAATTTTTTCCCAAGTTTTTAATAAATTTAGATAATTCATAAATTTTGTTCCAGTGGAGAATCCAAAGCACAGCGATTTCGTGAAGCTCAGAACGATGCTAATATCCACTCACATGCAAGATTTGAAAGACGTCACTCAGGACGTTCATTATGAAAATTTCCGCGCCCAGTGCATCTCTCAAATATCCCAACAGGCGATCAGGGAACGGAGGTATTTACGCATGTAAATAATTCTTTTGATACTGATAACACGCGGCCATTCGAAAGGGTCTAACCGGATAAGATGGTAAAATGTGCCCTTGAACGAAATTCAACTGTCAATGAGCAATTCGATAGTGTCCAAAGAAAACGTTCCGTGCCAATTTTCAACCCTCTATCTCAATCCGGAGGGTAGTTATGGGGATTAATCAGTATTAGCATTTTTGCTGTATTTCTCTTATTAAACATTTAGTAAAAAATCTGAAAAAATTCTTACACGTCCATGGGACGGTACTCGATATCAAGGAATTTACTCAGATTTTTTGGTTGTGTAATACCGTCGTGAAAAATAAAAAATGCCAAAAATGCATAAAAAATGCTGATTTCATATAGAATTTTTCGAGTGACATCATTTATATTTTTATGATAGACGTGCCTCGATCCAACTATTATACCCTATTTTTTTTTTATTTTTCGGTGAAGTGCGCCGTATTTAAAAAAATCATAAACCGATTTTATTCGTTGAATTTCGCGAAATGAAATCCCTTATCATTCGAATTGTTACACTTCCTTCTCTCAGTAGTCGTATTTCTTTCTGTTAAATACCTTTGTACAATATTAAGCATCAATTGAAAAAATCTGAAAAAATTCCCTAATATAGAATCCCTCGAACATATGAGGATTTATTTCAGATTTTTTGACAAACGTTTAATAGGAATGGCACGAACTTCTTTGGACACTCTATCGAACAGTGCATTGCAAGCTAAATTTCTTTCAAGGGCACATTTTACCATCTTATCCAGCTAGACCATTTCCTTTTCATGGAATTTATTATTTTATTAATTCATTTTTTAAAACGACTCAAGAGAATTTGACGTTTGGAAGGAATCTTCGGTTATCCCTGTTCTCTATAGGAAACTGCTAACATCGAATTGTAATAACTTCTTTAATAGGTTCGCAAAATTTCTAAAATTTTGTACAGTGTTTTATTAATGTAATACCTATACCCCCCCCCCCCTGTAAATCTTCAAATGTCAATGCTTTGTCACACATGTTTTTATGTAAGATTCATACAACTTTATTGTACCCTCTCTACAACCAATTTACATTACAGCAAACTGAAAAGGGACTCAGGCCCACATTTTGAGAACAGTATATCAGACACAGATCGACTGTTATTGCAAAAGGACGAGGAGGTAAATAATAACAATAATAATAATAATAATAATAATAATAATAATAATAATAATAATAATAATTCATTTTCCATTTAAATTACTGAATTCATTTTATCCAATCGAATTTCAGATAAGAAGAATGCAGGACATTCTGGCGCAGATGCAAGAGAAGCTGAAAGCCACGGGCCAAGTGAATCAAATGAACCACGGGATCGGATTAAGAGGTCGAGTTGGAAGTTTGGGAAATGATTTGGACTCGACCGACGTTGAGAAGAAGAGAAACAGTATTATCGACGTTTAATTATAACAACTATAACAAAACCAGTGAAACTGGCAGGGGTGGGGGATGGATTTAATTAGACAGGAACGCACAAGAAATCGATTAATTTAATTATAGAATAATTAACAATATGTATAGTAATCTGCGGATACGTTGCCACTCATCATAAGTCCCAAAAGTTAGGCTCGTCGCATCCCTCTATAAGTCTCAAGAATCGGACCCATTAGAAAAGGCCCAAAATCTCGTTAAAAGGGCCGAAAAGTGATCATGTATCCAAATGAACGTAGCCATATATCCGGGGATTACTGTATTAAAAGAGATGAAGAGTGAAAAGAGAGAGAGAGAAGGGGTAGTGTGCTAATGCCGACACCAAAGAACACTTTTTTATAATGATACGCTATAAGTATAGTTGACCAATTTATAATTTTTCTATATACACGCGCGTACGTACGTATTTGTAGTTAAATTTACGTTGAACATGTATACAAGTTTCGGAAACATAAAGTTGAACGAACGATTTATTTAATGCAGTTTTACTATCCACCGTTTCCTTGTTTTGAAATTAGTATTTAAATAAATATTAAATGCACTCGTTGAACTTTTCCTTCTATTCGACTATCGCACGAGGAATTAAAAGTCTATACACTTAAACCTGTATCAAGGAACAAACTTAAGGATGTATTGGCTATATAGTCAATCCCAAAAGTTTATGCACTTTAGAAACGCATTTTTTAAAAAGAAATCAGACGTCGGATAAACATTGCTAATAATAAACAACAAAAAAAAATTTTGATTTTTCCGAGATTTTTCCAAGGGGCACCCCTTCAATTTCTTCCAAATTTTCGTTTTTGGCCAATAACTCCCAAACCGTTGGACATACGGAAAAATTGCATAATGCAATTTAACGAGTAATTTGCAAAAAACTGTTTTTTCGTTTTTCGTCAATAACTCGTTAAATATTAATGCTAGCGAAAAAATGTTATACAGAAATTGTAGATCTCGTCGTCCTCTACAAGAAAGGTCATATACAATTTTCCCGTAGATTCAACGGTTTAGGAGTAATTAAGGAAAAATGAAATTTTTTGCCAAAAGTTCGCCGTTTCGACGCTGGGATGGATGGTCGGATTTTGTCAACATCAATAAAATGCCAAATAATCATACGTAACTCGTTAAATATCGAAGTTAGAAGGAAAACAACTTTTACTTCAGCGTCAATACTTAATTGGATATTTCCATCTATACTTTTTAGCACGTAGCTATTTATTATTAGCATTGTTCTTCTGACGTCTGATTTCTTTTTAATTATAGGAAATGCGTTTTTCTAAGGTACATAAACTTTTGAGATTGACTGTATAGCCAATACATCCTTAATGCACGATCCGTTATGAAAATCAAAGAATTGATAATAAAATATTGATTAGACATAAGACGATAGACAAAGCCAATCAAAAGATTCTCGAGTCTAATTCAGTTGTTTTATATAAACGCCCTCTTTCATCCTACGTATCATATGTCGATAGATTTTTGTTACATTTTAAACGTATAATCCAACACCCTGTTTATCCCTTATTTCTATATGAAAACATACGTACATGGTATCCCAACAAAAGTTGTGTACACACTCATTAAGCAATGCCCGTGGATTCTGTTAAATTTTCAAAATGAAATGTATTTTAATAGACACCGACTTTACGATTACTTAAAATGTTTACACATATTTTTGAGACACCCTATACACTGAGCGAGTGTATTAATTGTGAGTCGTAAACATACCGATATGAACGCGGAATTGGTACCGGAGTACCAAATATCAAGGGGACGCTCGACGATTGAATCATTTTCAAAGAAGTCCTTCTGTCTTCTCGAAGACATTAAAACTAGTCATTATTTACGACCGCCACGCAGTAATTGTGGTTTCATTAGAAACCATGATTATTACTGCTGGGCTTTCGACTATGATATAATTCAATTGGATTTCTTAACTTCGGGGACTATAAAACATGTCTGCATCAAATTTGTTAAACTATTTGTTAAACGATAGTCGTTTAGTGAACGTTTCAACGATTTCTGATGACTCCAAAGGTTGGTAAAACTATAGAAAAAATGTATACACACACACAACTAGCTTAGCCGTGTTTCTAAATTCGACTGTTTTTTCTTCTTTTTTTTGTTTAATCGAATAGATAATTCTGTTGATAATGATGCCGGTGGGATTGCTATCCAGTCCTCAAGGACCAGCGTATCTTCCACCTGCGGGACAGCCCAGGCCTAACAATCCACAGCCACCGGGTGGACACCCAGACGAGTGGGCAGGGGTCAGTATAATTTACTTTTTCTTTACTCTCGAACTAACTGAAGATATTTAAATGGTATTTGGATATGTTATAGATATAGGATAGCTCTGGATTCACTGTAAATTTCAACTCTCTACTGTTGATAGTTTATGAGTTAGAATTATTTATATAAAATTCAATTCTAATAGTATAAGATTCCAAGCTTCCTGAATCTTTTTCTCAAGAGCTATTTAAATGACTCTTGAATGTGTTTTAGATATAGTATGGCTCCAGATTCATGAATTTTCTCATCCTCCTGTTACCAATAGTGTAGAAGATATGATTATGTAAAACATAATTCCAATATAAGATTCCAAGTTTCATGAATTTTTTTCTCAGAGCCTATCGATCCTATTTAAATGATTCTTGGATATATTCAAGAGACACTATTCCTCTAACTTCATACTTTTTTCCAATGTTTTATCCACACTACTTTTCATAATAAAATTATCTATAAAAACCGTAATCCTCTAAAATCCCTTTTTAAGAATGAAACACATTACCCTCACTAATTTCACAAAACTAACATTCTATCTAGGATCCAGTGAATTACGAATTTTCGTACGAAGTGGAGGACGCGTTAAACGCTCTAAACTTCGGCCACCAGGAGTCAAGGAAGGACGACGAAGCCACAGGGAGTTATCACGTTTTATTACCGGATGGGAGGACTCAGATCGTGGATTATGTGGCCGATAGGCAAGGGTACAGACCGATGGTACGTTACGAAGGAGTCGCGAGCTATCCTGCACCTTCGCGTCCAGCAGGAGGGACCAGCAATGACGAAGGATATAGATATTAATTAATAAGGATGTTAAGCTAGCGATTGGCAAGTTGTAACGATTTTAATAAAAAGAAGTTGTAATCGAGAAGGAAATTGTATTGTTGAAGTTTCATTGATTCCTTATTGACAGTCAATTTTTATATAAAAACTTTGAAGAACATATATACATATATAATAATTTTGAGGATGTAAAAGCTTTAAGAATTTTCTATTTTTATTATTTTTTTAATTAGAGCTTTATTTTACATGGTCGCATGAACAGTAGAATCATTAACGTCCAACACTGAATTTGTACAAATTGTTACATAATTATGTTACATGAGTATATACTAAGTAAAGAATACTAAATTATGAAAAATAATGGTTTTTAAATACTGGGAATGTTTATAATGAGTTTAGAAGATTGAATCTGTTGAAGAAGTCTACAACATTTGTGATATTTTCCTCCTCATTGAAGTTACTTTTCATATCATCTTTAATTTTACAAATCAATCTTTCAAATGAGAAGTTGGTGCAGAAGTAAAATATTTAAGTAAAATATATTGAATAGTTAGTGTGGTTCTACATTTTATATTGGAAATTGAAATAGGGAAAAATTCTTGAAGAATAAATTCCATTTTTATACAATGATTCTCAGGTGAACTTGATTAATGATTTTATTTCGCAAGTTGCAATGGATTTACGATCCTAACACAATTGAGAAATCTACAACTACATTCACAGTACATATGTATAAGACGTTTTTCAAATTTCAATCAACAATCCCCAATTTACAACAAATAAAAATAGAAAAGATACATTTAAATAAAACAATAAGACTCACCATTGGATGATCATCCCCTGTAAGACCCAGCTGATCGCAGCACGACAACATTTCATCACAGGCAGCTATCAAACTAAATCACTCGTCAACCCGGAAGTAAAAATCTTAAAATCAAACCTTAATCCATCAGAAACTTAAAAATCACTTCTAAAAATTATCATATCCTTTAGGATTTATCATTCGAGCAATAATCGCGATTCAATACGTAACAACAATTCAAGTGAAACTCGGAAAAATAGGAAAATCGATGTGGATCGCGGGAACCAAGGTCGATCGACGAGAACGAGTCTAGAAAATATCGCGTAATTCTCGCCGGTATTCGCCATGAAACGTCCATCGCACTCGGTATTTAAACTATTTCTACAATTTAACAATCGAAACTATGTTTACACTAATTAAAATTGTTAATTTTCGCGGAGCAAGAGGTAACGTGTATCACTTTTGACAGCCGCAGCTAGAGCCACGAATGGCAAGATGGCGGCACGATCGTTTCTCATTGGCCCCCAGCGATGCGCCATTGTAACTTGGTTGGCTTCCAGCGACGTGTCAATGTAATCTGATTGGGTCAGTGCGGGTGGCTTTAAGAAATGTGATTGGATGTTTGGATGGCAGCTAAAGGAGACTGATGGAATTGCACTAAAAATGAGAATTCGAATTTACAAGGAAAATTTTACGATAATTCATTTTTTTAAGCTTCCTATAATGAGAAATTTTTTAAATAAATTCGGAGAAATACCACTTAGTTTAGACTACAATTCAGAATTTTATCAAGCTTCTAACTAGCTTTGCTAAGCTTTGTAATTAGAAGTTATAAATAGAAGATTATTTCTGGAGATTAATTAACGAATAAATAAATACCTTTATTATCTCTATTAAATTCGCAGTTGCAAGCTGATTAATTATGTAAATGACGTCCAGGGGTCTTAAATGGGTTATCGAATTTAAGATTTCTTTTACGTTATTCAAGCCACAACAATGATAACGAATTATCATTAATTCATTTGATGATGTTATCGTTTAGCTTTAAATAGGGCAACGAGTAAATGCGATGTTATTGTAACTTCGGCTCTCCTAAGTCAATTATTATTATTTCAATATACATTTACAATTATATCTCTTTGAATACTTTTTCTAATATATTGTTGAAATTTTTTGTTTAAAAAATGGCTTCGAAAATACATGCATTCGAATCAAACTTTGTTACATTGTCAAGATTCGTTTTGGCCGAACAAAGAAAGATTCCTACTGCTACTGGAGACCTGACGCAACTATTAAACTGCATACAGACGGCCGTGAAAGCTGTCAGCTCGGCTGTTAGGAAAGCAGGCATTTCTAACTTGTGAGCGTTTTTATATTTTTTTGCTTATGATTCCAATATATGTAATTTTATTAAACAGTTGAGAGATGTACTACTAGACGTGAAGTATATTGTCAGATTTTTTCATAATTTTACTCTAGTTTTACTCTAGTTCAATATTTTATTCTAGTCAGGAAAAATTCCCAAACTTTAATGACCTTATTTTTACTGTATGGAATCTGTTAAAAAAATTCAGACATCTTCTACTAGATCAGTACTATACCCTCAAATTTTTCCATAAGTTTGCCTCGTATAGTCCAACCAGAATTGTGAAAAATAAAAATTGCAACAATACCAAAAATCTGTTTCTCGTATTTCTCTAATTAAAGATCCAGTTATTTGAAATTAATTTTAGATACGGCATAGCCGGGCAGCAGAACGTCCAAGGAGAAGAAGTGAAGAAACTGGACGTTTTCAGCAATGAATTGTTCGTAAACATGTTAACATCGTCTTACTCGACTAAGTATTTAATCAGCGAGGAAAACGAGGAGATAATCGAAATCGAAACGGAGAAACAAGGGAAATACATTGTCTGCTTCGACCCTCTGGACGGCTCGTCGAACATCGACTGCCTCGTATCCGTCGGCTCGATTTTTGGCATTTATAAAAAGAATGAACCAAATGAATTGCTGATTGGGAGGAACTTAGTTGCAGCTGGCTACGCGCTTTATGGGTCGGCTACTATGATTGTTTTATCAATCGGAAGCGGCGTGAACGGTTTCACGTATGATCCGGCGATCGGAGAATTTATTTTAACTGAGAGGAATATGAGAGTACCGGACAGAGGCGAGATTTATAGGTATGAGTTATTTAATTGTTTATAACGTTGTTAATAGTGGTCCGATTTACCTCGTTCACGGCGCAAATTAAAGCTCGAACTCTCTGATCTAAGAACCGCCTGTATACTGTTTATTTTTAGTATTAACGAAGGGAACGAGGGCAGCTGGGACACGTCGATCAAAGAATACATTAAATCGAAGAAGTATCCGAAAACTGGAAGTGCGAAACCTTACAGCAGTAGATACGTGGGTTCGATGGTTGCAGACGTCCACAGGACGATAAAGTACGGAGGAATATTCCTATATCCAGCGACCAAGAGTCACCCGACAGGGAAAGTCAGTGCTCATTCTTAAAATCCACGAAACAATTCTAAATCGCACATTAAATATTTAATAAATAATTAATTATTTACGTAGCTCCGACTATTATACGAGTGCGTGCCGATGGCTTACATTGTGAAAGAAGCCGGGGGACTGGCGTCGAACGGGGAAATTGACATTTTGGACGTCCGGTCAGAAAAGATACATCAAAGGTCGCCAATCTTCATAGGTTCTAAAGAGGATGTCCAAGAACTATTGCAGTTCATTAAAAAGTATAAAACCACTACGTAAATTAACTGTGAATACGTCGAATCCCGTGTTAACGGAAAATGAAAAAAAATGACGTTGAATAAATGAACGTTGCTTTTTGTAAATGAATTTCTACCAATGTTACTCGTGCAATACCTGTTTAATTAACTGTATAAAAGGAAACCTTCACAGTTTATTAACCACATTAATAT